CTCCAAGCCTTTGCTGCATCAATTAGCATCTTCTCTGTGCAATGGGGGGACCGAAACGAGTCAGGATGAGCAGGACCAACAGGAAGAGTAAGGCCACAACCAGTCCCTCTCTACCCTCTCAGCCCAGACCCCTGGTGCTGTGCCCCAGCTTCCCCCATCCTGACTAGGACAGGGCGTTCTTAGACTGCCTCCACCTCACCTCTCCCAACCTGGACGGGGCAGGTGGGTGCCACCCACTCACCCAAGCTGGGCCCCCGGCTGGGCCTCCAAGTCCCATTTTCTATCTACCAAACCCTTAGTCTTCCCGGGGTTAGGTGTTCCCCACTGCTCCTCACCATGGGTCCCGTTTCTTGACTCAAGTTTCCCTCCATTGGCAAGTAGGCTCAGCCAGACCATCTGGAATCTGGCCTTTGACCCTCCTCCTCCTGCTTCCCTTGCCTGCCCCCAACCCCTCACCCCAATGAGGCTGGAGTCCTGACCTCTGATCTGACACGCCCACTAGCCAGAGCGCCTGCAGCCTCCCCTCAGACGCCCCAGCACTGGCCATTGCCCGAATCATGACTGGGCCTGCCACACCCTTGGACCAGGCTCTGGGCCGCCCCTAAGGAGCCTCCAGAGGCTGCCTCCCCCAGCCTGGCCCGCCCTGCTGCCCAGCTCTCCAGCCAGCTCCCTCCCTTCTCCCAGACTATTGCAGCAACCTCCGAGCCGGTCCCTGGCCTCCGGTCCCCTCTCCACCCATCACACACCAGCGATCTCCTGTCATGCTTCTTCCCCTTGGCCCCCACGATAGAGGCCAGCCTTTTAGCCAGCCTCTCCACTCCTCACTGTCCCTCTAGACGTCCCTCACTCCGGCCCAGTGGAGTCCTTTGTGTTCTCCAAACCCCTCTTGAGCTCTTCCACCTCAAAGGGAATAGAACCTGGGACCCGTCATGCCTTCCTCCCATCTTCATTCCTTGATGTCATGCCCAACTCTCAGACTGTGTTCAAATGGGGCGCTGCGGCAAGAGAAGTAGAATAAGAGCCAGGAAACTGCCCGGGCTGTGCGCTCAGTGGTTAGAGCATCAGCCTGCGCACCAAAGGGTTGTGGGTTCAATTCCCAGCAAGGGCACGTACCTGGGTTGCAAGTCTGATACACAGGCCCAGTTGGGGCGTGTGCAGGAAGCAACCAATCAATGTATCTTTCTTACATACATAAGAAGGGGAGATGTTTCTCTCTCTCCCCTTCTCCCTCTCTCCCTTCCACTCTCTCTAAAGTTCAATGGAAAAAATATCCTCAGGTAAGGATTGACACAACAAAACAACAGTTGGAAGGCCTGAATCCCAGCCATGCCACTGACTCACTCTGAGACTCCCTGGGCCTCATTCTTCCCATCTGCAGAAGGCTTGCTGATTTTCAGGGACCTCCCAATTCTAGGATGATCTGACTTCTGGGGAAGTCTGGGTAAATGTGGGAAACAAGTGAGCTTTTGTCCCAGGCAGAATCCCAGCTTCCCTCATGTGCTGCTGTGAGCCGGGTTCCTTACTTAACTAAGTCTCATTCATTCATTCATTATTCATTCATTCAGCAGCATCTACGGGCCAGGAGCTTTCCGGGCTCAGTGGATACAATAGGGAACAAGGCAGTGACCCTGCCTTCTTGGGGCGCACAGTCTCCCAGGGCAGGTGTTCTCCACTGAGGGCAACGTTGCCCCCAGGAGAAATGACAGCTGACAACGTGTGGAGACATTTTTGATTGTCCCACTGGAGGGATGCTACTGGCAACTAGGTAGAAGCTAGGGATGATGCTAAACATCCTACAAAGCACATTAAGAGAAACAATTACCCAGCCCTGAGCATGAATAGCGCCAAGGTTGAAAGAAAATCCCTGACTATTGAGGGATTCAGGCCAACAAGTAAATACTAGTATATACCATTTTAGATAGTGATAAGGGCAAAGGAGAAACATGGAACAAGACTGGGGCCAGGGAGCCCTGGGGTGGGGGAGGGGAAGGTGGTCAGGGACTCTGCCACTGGAACTGAGACCCGAGAGAGTGAGGAGGCAGAGCATTGTAATAACTGCAGGAAGCCCTAGCTGGTTTGGCTCAGTGGATAGAGCTTAGGCCTGCGGACTGAAGGGTCCCAGGTTCGATTCCAGCCAAGGGCACATGCCTGGGTTGCAGGCTTGATCCCCAGTGGGGGGCGTGCAGGAGGCAGCCTATCAATGGTTCTCTCTCATCATTGATGTTTCTATCTCTCTCTCCCTCTCCCTTCCTTTCTGAATCAATAAAATTAAATACGACAACAAACACCAAATAGCTGCAAGGGGAGTGTTCCAGGTGGGGAACCGCCAAGGCCGAGGTACTGAGGGAGAAACGAACCTGGTGAGTTTCCGGAACAGCCAGGAGTTCCAGAGCGGCTGGAGAAGAGGGGGTGGCGGGGTTGGGATGAGAAGTTCGGGGGTAGATCACCCTGGGCTGGAGGCTGTGGTTGAGAATTCGGCCTTTCCTCTGAGTGAGCTGAGGACCTCGAAGGTTCTGAGCAGGACCTGACTGAACGTGACTTAGATTTTAAAAGGATCCCTCTGGCCGGATGCAGAGGGCAAAGGGGCTTGGGAGAGGCTGTTGTGAGAAGCTAGATGACAGACGATAGTAGGGGCCAGAGGAGGATGTCGAAGAAGGTGGTGAGAAGCAGATTCTGGTCTGTTTTGAGGGTGAAGCCCACAGGACCTGCTGAGAGACTGGACATGGGGTGTGGGAGAAAAAGGAGTCAAGGATGATCTCAAGGCTTTGGGCCTGAGCCAGTGAAAGGCTGAACTGCCCATATTGCTGCTCCTCTCACGGGAAGGGGGTAGACAGTCTTCGTGCTTCACAGATGTAGACCTTGACAGAACCACCTTCTGGGCACAGAGCAAGCACTTCCAAAGCCCTGGTTCTCAAGGGGCCTGGCTGTGTCTGCAGGGCCGGCCCTGGCACTGTAAGGTGGTGAGCAAAGCGGCCCTGGGCCCCACCCCCACCCAGATTCACTGGGAAGACTAAGGAACACTTGCCTCATGCTTTGCAGCTGACACAGCACATTTGCAAACACTGAGCACTGTGATACAATAGCCCTGCTGAGCAGAAAGGCCCTGGCACATTACCCCCATTTTGATAAAACTGGAGACCCAGAGAGGGTTAGTGACTACCCTGCAGGCACACAGCAGACCAGTGGCAGAGTGAAAAACTGGACCAGGGCAGCACGTGGAGGGGCAGGGCCACTCCCAGATCAAACTTCTGCCAAGAGTGCAGCGGGTGTGCAGGGGTTAAACTGACCATCAGCTCCCCAGGGACCATCCTGGACCGTGGGCTCAGTGCACAAGCCTCCAGAGGCCTCCAAGAGGGGCAGGAAGAGGACCCTGGCCAGGCCTGCACAGCAGGCCCTGAGGACAGGGAGGGCTCCATACATGGGATGCCTGTGTCATACACACATGTGTGTCACTGTGTGCCCCATGCCCATACATGGTCTCTCACCAGTTCCCCTGCGGCTAGCCCTGCTCACCCGGCATGCAGCCCGGCCCCCTCCCCCCACACCCTGCCCTCCTGCAGCAGGAGCCCAGAGAAGCATTTCCTGTTTGGGGGTGGCCTCCTTTCCCTCTAAGCCCAGGTTCCCAGGACCCCAGGCTGAGCAGAGGTTCAGGGAGAGCAGCTCCCTGTCCCTCCTCCTCCCCCACACACCCCCAGTCCAGCTGGAGCCAGGGAGCTTGGGGTGAGGGGGAGGTTGAGGCAGGAGCTTAGTATATAAGTGAGGGACTGAGATGTCTGTGCCTGGCCCCGGCCGGGGAGCTCAGTTGGTTAGAGCGTCATCCTGACCAAGGTTGCAGGCTGGATCTCCCCACGGACACATACAAGACTCAACCAATTAAAGCACAAACAAGTGGAGCAACAAATCGATGTTTTCTCTCCCCCAACCCCTTTCCTCTCTCTCTCTCCAAACAACAACAACAACAATTTTTTTTTAAAGAAGTCTGTGCGTGCTGTGATCAAGGGGCTCCCACGTGTTAGGGCATGTAGAATGTGTGTGCACCTAGGGGTGGCATGTCAGAGCACACGAATGTTTGGGGGCTGCAGGCCTGCGTGGGTCTATAGTGAGGGGAAGGGCTTAGCATGTCAGACTCTGTGCAAATCTGGTCCACGGAGAAAGCTTTTGTGTGGGGAGGAACATACACACGTGTGACGTGAAGGGAATGCGTCAGAGCATGTTTCCACATGTATGATATGGCAAGCTGTTGGGCTGTCAGGGGTGTGATGAGACTGGTGTGTCCAGATTCGGGTCACGGTGGGTCCCTGGGAAGTGACCTCACCCCACGCCGAGAGCCCCAGGCTGCGCTGGAGTTTCCCGAGGGTCGTCCAGCCTCTCCAGGCAGGCTGGTCCCCCCCTGACTCCCAGCCTCTGAGTGCTCCTCCCCCCTCCCGCCCCAGCCCCAGCGCCCCTACCCCTGCCCCCGCCCGACTGCTTCCTGCGCGGGCAGCCCCCGGGGAGCGGGAGGGGGAGCTGGCGGCGGCCCCAGCCCACTCCTTACAAGGCTTCAGTCCGGCGGGGCCCGCCCCCGGCTCGCCCCCCGTCCCTCCCCCTGTCAAGAGCGGCCGCGGCCCCCGGCCCGGACCCAGTCGGGGTGCGTCGCTTTTTTTGCTGCGCCTTGCTGGCTGATCCTGGCCCGCCGCTGCGCCCGCGCTGCCCCAATTCCCCCTGATCAACAGAACCCCGGGTCGCCTTGAAGCCCCGACAGGTGATACGTGTCTCTTTCCGCGCTCTGCACCTTCCTGAAGCATGACGACCTTCCCAAGAGCTGGTGGACTACCGGCCCACCCCGCGAACCCCCGAGGAGGCTCGGCGCGTG